ATTTCAAATCTCATTTGCATTTCCATAACGTTGTGGTGGATAATGACTGCGAAATACCGTTCATGACTAATGTGATTGTACATATGCATGAGCTGTGTAGAAGTTGTAATCATGAAACGAAGAGAACGTAGCTGGATGTATAAAAGGACGATTGGGCAAAGTATTAATCCAGATTTCGTGAAAGGAGTTGATGAATTCATTCAGTACGTCAGAGATCATCCCGAGAGTAGTAATACGGATGAGGTTAGGTGTCCATGTGTTAAATGTAAGAACAAACGCCTTTGGAATGTGGATACGGTTAAAATTCATCTGTATGACAAGGGTTTTGTACCTAACTACTACGTGTGGATGTGTCAAGGGGAGGGGTATCCGGGAGTTCCCGAACGACGGTTAAATGAATATTCTGACATGGTTTTGGATGCTTTTGGTCATAGTCAAGATCAGGGGCATTCCGAGGAGGCTAGTGTTTCATCAGAGGAGGAGCCTAATGCAACTTCTAAGCATTTTCTGGATTTGTTGAAGGCTTCTGAAAGGCTATTATACGAAGGGAGTTCTTTGTCTGTGTTAGAGATAGCCGCTAGAATCACTAGTCTCAAATGTGAGTATAATTTGCCTCACAGATGTGTTGATGGGTTTGCTTCTTTGCTAAGTGAGGCAATTCTGAACAACAATCATATGGCCGACACTTTTTACGAGGTGAAGAAGATTGTGAAGGGGTTGGAACTGTCCCATCAAAAGATTCATGCGTGCCCGAAAGGGTGTATGTTGTTTTGGAAGGATGATGCTCAGTTGTCTGAATGAAGGGTGTGTGGAAGCGACCGATACAAGCAGACTTCTAAAGGTAGCCTAGTGCCTTTGAATCTTCTATTTTATTTCCCGATCACACCCAGGTTGCAAAGACTGTTTGCAACGAAGAACATTTCGGAGGAAATGACATGGCATTCGAAAAATCCCAGAGTTCAAGGCACAATGGCACACCCTAGTAATAGCGTCAAATTTGGTCAAAAATCCCAGAAAAAAAAACAGTTGATTTGGTAAAAAAACATAGAAAATGGGCAAAGAATAGGTCATACAGGCCATAGTTGGCTCCATTTGGATCAAATGCGTCCTAAACCTTAGGGACTTGTAGTTTTTTGTGATTTCAAGGCCTGTACCCCTTAAAATACCTAAAATATGCATGTTTAGAGAAAGAAATTGTTCATTTGGTCAAAAACATAGAAAATGGGCTAAGAATAGGTCATATAGGCCATAGTTGGCTCAATTTGGCTCCAAAATGCGTCCCAAACCTTAGGGATTTGTATTTTTTTGGAATTTAAAGGCATGTACCCCTTAGACTACATGTAATAGAGATTTTTAGAGAAAAAATAGTTCATTTGGTCAAAAACATAGAAAATGGGCAAAAAATAGGTCATATAGGCCATAGTTGGCTTCATTTGCCTCAAAATGCGTCCCAAACCTTAGGGACTTGTAGTTTATTGTGATTTCAAGGCCTGTACCCCTAATAATACCTAAAATATTCATGTTTAGTGAAAGAAATTGTTCATTTGGTCAAAAACATAGAAAATGGGCTAAGAATAGGTCATATAGGCCATAGTTGGCTCAATTTGGCTCCAAAATACGTCCCAAACCTTAGGGAGTTGTATTTTTTTGGAATTTCAAGGCATTTAACCCTTAGAATACCTGTAATAGAGATGTTTAGAGAAAAAAATAGTTAATTTGGTCAAAAACATAGAAAATGGGCAAAGAATAGGTCATACAGGCCATAGTTGGCTCCATATGGCTCAAAATGCGTCCCAAACCTTAGGGACTTTTAGTTTTTTGTGATTTCAAGGCCTGTACCCCTTAAAATACCTAAAATATGAATTTTTAGAGAAATAAATAGGCTATTTGATCAAAAACATAGAAAATGGGCTAAGAATAGGTCATATAGGCCATAGTTGGCTCCATTTGGCTCAAAACGCGTCCCAAAGCTTAGGGAGTTGTTTTTTTTTTGTGATTTCAAGGCATGTACCCCTTACAATACCTAAAATATGCATGTGTAAGGAAATAAATTGTTCATTTGGTCAAAAACATAGAAAATGGGCTAAGAATAGGTCATATAGGTCATAGTTGGCTCAATTTGGTTTAGCTTTTTTGTATAACTTACTACCTCGTTTGTTCCCTTTTATACGTTTATCTTGTAGGAGGCCTACCAAAAGAGGGTTGGGGCGGCTTGCACTCAAAGGACTCAGAAGACTCCGAATGAGCTGTACTGGGAGACAGTGGGTGGTCGGAACAAAAAAGGACTTGTGAAGGGACTAGGCGAAAGTGCTGACATGTACTATGGCAGCCAGATAGGTCGCCGACTTTCCACCTCTTCCATGCAATACACGCCCTCCTTTGTTTCTTAGATGCAGGATCAGATGGAATCCAGGGTCCAGGCTATTCGGGAACAAATGGAAGCCGACATGGAAGCCCGAGTTCAAGCCCAAGTTCAAGCCCAACTACAAGCCCAAATGGAAGAAATGGAGAAGAGGCTGGAAGAAAGGATGATGGGTCGTTACGCCAATGACCCATGTTCCAACGTGCGACCTCCATTTCGAGATCCCAGGGACGACGACCCGGGTTTTGGTGGAGTTGGCCAGGGCACTCGCGCTGTTGTATAGCATTGATGAACTTATTGTTTGTTAGTTGTAATTTTATATTAACTTAGTGTTTATTGTAAATATTGGAATTAGTATATATATATATATATATATATATATATATATATATATATATATATTTGCACAAATTATTCAATTAGTAATATAATATAAGAAGCAGGAATTACAGGTTTGTCCCGGAGGAAAATATATAGCTAAAATAAAAATTTATTTCGTAGCAAAGAAGAAAAGTTCCGACGGAATTATAATCCCTCGGAAAAGGAGAACTTCCGACGGAAATACTATCCCTCGGAAAAGGGAATCTTCCGACGGAATTAAAATCCCTCGGAAAAGGGGAATTTCCGACGGAATAAATCCCTCGTAACATTCCCCTGTTCCGACGGAAATTTCCCTCGAAAACGTGGGGCCTTCCGACGGAAATGTCCGTCAGAATAGGGGAATAATCCGAGGGATTTTATTCCGTCGGAATCTTGCGACGGACTTCCAATTCAGGTCAAACTAAGGTTCCGAGAAACTAAAATCCGTCGGAAATTCCGTCGGTAAGGATGTTTCCGACGGAAAATCCCTCGGTATAACCCAAATTTCCTACAAAGGGGTCTCCGACAGCGTGTTTCGACGGAATTCCGTCGGAAACTGGACTTTCCGACGGATTTTTAAGGTTTTCCGACGGAATATGTCCCTCGTAAATTAGCTGTTTTCTAGTAGTGGTAATAAATAGCATGAAGCTTTTTATCCTTTCGTTGCCCCAAAACGGCTTCTACTGCATAACCACTAGCATCACACATGATTTCAAACGGTAAGGTCCAATCCGGGGGTTGCATAACAGGGGTAGAGATCAAAGGTTCCTTCAACTTGTTAAAAGCCTCAAGACAAGCATCAGTGAAAATAAATGGAGCATCCTTAGCTAAAAGCTCAGTTAGAGGTCTAGCAATTTTCGAAAAATCCTTAATGAAACGATGGTAAAAACCTGCATGACCAAGGAAACTTCGAACTCCTTTTACAGAGTTCGGAGGAGGTAATCGCTCTATGACCTTTATTTTTGCCTTATCGACCTCAGTACCCTTATTAGACACGACATGACCTAAGACAATTCCCTGTTGTACCATAAAATGACATTTTTCCCAGTTTAAAATAAGATTGACTTCCTGGCATCTATGGAGCACCTTTTTCAAATTTTCAAGACATGCATCGAAAGATATTCCATAAATAGAAAAATCATCCATAAATACTTCCATAGAATTCTATATGAGACTTAAAAAATTGCCATCATACAACGTGGAAACGTGGCTGGGGCATTGCATAATCCAAATGGCATCCTGCGATATGAAAAAGTGCCATATGGACATGTAAATGTAGTCTTTTCTTGATCACATGGACGAATAGGAATTTGGAAAAAACCAGAATATCCATCTAGATAACAGAAAAAGGAATGCTTAGCTAAACGTTCTAGCATCTGATCAATAAAGGGTAGGGGGAAATGGTCCTTCCGGGTGGCCTTATTTAATTTCCTATAATCAATACACATTCGCCACCCTGTGACAGTCCTAGTGGCGACTGGCTCAAACTTGTCATTCTTGACAACGGTCATACCTCCTTTTTTTGGTACTACTTGTACAGGACTAACCCACTTACTATCTGAGATAGGGTAAATTATTCCTGCAGCAAGCAATTTAAGAACCTCTTTTTTCACTACCTCCATCATATTTGGATTAAGCCTTCTTTGAGGTTCTACAAAGGAAGCATAATCGTCCTCAAGGATGATTTTATGCATACAAAAAGAAGGATTAATACCTTTAATATCATCAATGGTGTACCCTATAACACTTTCATATTTTCTCAAAACCGTGAGCAGTTGCTCTAATTTTGTGTCCTTGAGCTCAGCATTAACAATAACAGGATATGAATAATTAGGACCAAGATCAGCATATTTAAGATTAGAGGGAAGGGGTTTCAACTCTACCTCGGGAGGCGTAGTACTCTCCCCAACACTCGCTGCACTAAGTACTTCTCTGATTGGACTAGTGATTAGGTTGGTTTTTGCTTCCTCAAGTAGCCTTGTGTACTCCTTTGATTCCCAATCTTCATCATCAACATTCCCCAGTAGTACTATTTTAAGTGCATCATCTGTTTTACTCAAGGAGAGTTGCGCACTCTGTAGATCGCCAAGGACATCCACTTGACAAACAGTCTCTCCCATAGAAGGAGTGCCTATAGCATTAAAAAATGAATACTCCATTTTCTCGTCCCCAACCTCAAAAATGATTTTGGCATTTTTCATGTTAATAATTGCGCCTGCAGTAGCTAAGAATGGCCTACCAAGAATAATGGGAACATGTGCATCCTCCTTCATCTCCATCACAACAAAATCGCAGGGAATAAAGAACTTTCCCACGCAAAGAGGCACATCCTCAAGTACACCCAGGGAAACTTAACCGACCTATCTGCAAGTTGTAGAGATATGCGTGTAGGCTTAAGTTTACCCATTTGAAGCTTCTTACAGATAGAAAGTGGCATAAGACTCACATTTGCACCAAGATCACATAATGCCCTATTAATCTCAATATCTCCAAGTTTCACTGGAATTGAATAGATACCTGGATCGCCTAATTTCTTAGGAAGTGTGTTTTGCAAAATTACACTACACTCTACAGTCAATGCAACTGTAGCATTCTCTTCTAGCTTTTTCTTATTAGAGAGCATATCCTTTAAAATTTTTGCATAAGATGGAATCTCGGATATTGCATCTAAGAATGGAATATTAATATGAAGCTTTTTCAGAATATCCAAAAATTTTCCATACTTTTTCTCTAACTTGGCTTGGGCTAACCTCTGCGGAAAAGGAGCCTTTGGCACATATGGAACAAGAGGTGGTGGTGGAGTTGCTTCCTTTGGCTCTTCCTTGATCATCGGACTATCAATCACCTTCTCACTTTCTCCTGCCCCTTCAACAACCTCCTTTGATGGCTCCTTGATAGGAGGTTCTTCTAATTGCTTTCCACTCCTCAAAATTACAGCATTCATATGCCCCTCTTGTGGTTGCTCTGTCTGACCCGGAAAAGTGACCGGTGTCTTTAAAGATTGGCCAACTTGATGAGCAAGTTGACTTATCTGATTTTCCATGAGCTTACTCCGGGCTTGTAACTGTTGTATGGAACTATTTTTTTGTTGGATGGAATTGTTGGTTTTGGTGATAAAATTTTCCAACATTAGTTCAAGGTTGGATTTTTGAGGAGGTGGTTGCATAGGTTGTTGGACTGGAGGTGGCCTTGGTTGGAAACCAGGTGGTGCATTGTAGTTGTTGGTTCCAGGTAGCGGTGGAGGTGGATTTTGTTGGGCTTGGGTATTCTTGTAGGAAAAATTTAGGTGATTCTTCCAACCTTCATTATATGTGTTAGAATGGGGGTCATATGGCCTTTTGGGGTTAGAAGTGTTGAATGCATTGGCTTCCTTAATCGACATGTCATTTGAATTTTGTGGGCAATTGGGTGCAATGTGGCCTTGCACATTACACATTTGACAAGTCTCAGGTAAGCTAGCGGATATTCCTGCTTGGAGTCTATCAAACTTGCTTGTCAATGCCTGCACAGAGCTAGTCAAAAGAGTTAGAGCATCAACATCTAATTTACCACTCTTTTTCACACTGTTTCGGCCTCCTGGGTGATAGTTATCATTGGTTGCCATCTTCTCAACTAGTTCCTTCGCCTCAGTTGGGTTCTTAGTCAATAGAAAACCCCCAGATGCAGCATTAATGTAGATTCGGAACTCATGTGTTAAACCATTGTAGAAGGTTTGGATCAACATCCATTCAGGAATACCATGGTGAGGGCATTGTCTCTGTAGTCGCTTAAATCTCCTCCATGCGTCATATAGGGACTCATCATCTGACTGCCTGAAAGTAGATAACTCGTTTCTCAACCTTGCAGTCTTGTCCTGTCCCAAGAACTTGACTAGGAAAGCCTTCACCAATTTATCCCATGTGTCAAATGAGCCAGAACCTTCATCTCTCAGCCATTCCTTCGCCCTATCCCGTAACGAGAAAGGGAAAAGGCGAAGTCTAAGAGCATCATCTGTAACACCATTTAATATCATAGTGTCACATTTCTCCAAGAAACTATCGATGTAACTCACTGGGCAGTCATGAGTTGTGCCTGCAAACGAATCATTGGAGATGAATTGAATGAATTGTGGTTTCAATTCGAAGTTCTGAGCAGTGACAGGTGGTCAAACAATGCTTGAGAGGAGTCCGGTTGTTGTATCAGGAATACCATACTCCAAAAGAGATTTCGTGCCGTCTTCCATGTTTCCATTGTTTCGATTTCTCCCTCTTCCCCTACCTCTTCGTCTCCTTACAGTTGCTTCGATTTCATAATCAAAAGGTGCTAAATCGTCTGACCTTGAACGTCGTGTTTGCATGCAACAAAGAATTAAAAGAAGAGAATCAAAAACACAAGAGACAATAGCCAAAGCAACGAAAAACGCTTAGTAAAAACGAATCACAAATAATCAGCAAGAAACCGTTAGTCCCCGACAACGGCGCCAAAATTTGATAGGCGTGTCGCGTAACTAACAAAAATAAACCTAACGAGACCACTACTATGTAGACGGGCAAGTAAGGATCGAATCCCAAGAGACTATGGTTCACCTAATTAAATAGACTCAAATAATCACTAAGCAAGTAACAAATCAATGGTGATGAGCTTCTAAGAACTAGTAATTAAAGGACTCAATTAATCTAAAGAATGTGATAAACCAATGAACTAAAACATCCAAGATCAAGAATTACCACGAATATAATCAATACATAAACAAATCCACCCCCAATACCAATTCAATCGACAAGAGGAAAAGCATTCCCTAATCAATACCAAAGGTCTCTCCCGAGTTATCAATGGCTTTCCAAATCAACTATCAAGCCTATTTCCATGGAATCAAGCAAATAAGGGACATTAAACACAATACTTAACTTCCAAATCATTCAATCATCTACTTCCGTGATGACCTTCAAAACCTTAATTGAAATACCCAAATCCTGTTAATATTCAACTTCCGTTGCAATAAAAACAAAGGGATGATAACAATACCAATTATTCCTAATCTAGTATTGGCATAAACACAATCAATCAAGCATGTCAATTGGAAATATTATTGGAGAATTTAAATATTAAATCTAAGCATTAATCATATCCGGGCTTTGCATGATCCCGGATTATGAATCTACTCACACATGCTAACAAAACCAAAAGCAAGATTCAATAGAGAAGACATAATCAATGAGCAATAATAATTGAAAGAGAAGTGAGATAGATGAATACCAAAATTGCTTCAATTAAAAGAACTCAAACTGTTGATGAATAATAATCAAAGCTAAGAGAGGAATTAAATTGCGTAAAGAAAGTAAAACTAGGGTTCTTAGAGAAAACTAATACTAGAGGATATAATGAAGTGTTTTCTAATTGTGATTACAAAGGGTATTTATACCCCCAAAAAGATAGAATTGCGAAAATAAGCAAATCGGCTTCCGCGAAACAGTGCCCAGTCCAACCGGGTAAGGGGTGCCCGATCGGGCGGCTAGAGTACGGCGCCTCTTGTTTTTCGTCGCCTTCTTGTTTCTTCCTGTGCCCGGTCCCACCGGGCGAACATGCCCGATCGGGCGCGTAAGGTAACTCCAAAATGATTGCTTGAGATGCTGAAATTCTAACTCTTCAATGCCCGGTCCAACCAGGCGAGCTATGCCGAACCAGGCACGTAGAGTCTGCAGCAAATACTTTGTATCTAGCTCATCCTTCTTTCCCCTGTCTGACCGGACAAGCTATGGTCAACAGGGCATGGGAGAAATCTTCATCTTCGCACACCAACCTCTTCTATAACTATCCAAAACACGTCCGATTCATCCACGAAACTCCGTATTCCTATGAAACTCACAAAAATAGATCGAATACACTAGAGAAGAGATTGTTAGCCAGAAATGGCTCCAAAGAGCCCAAAACCATGCAAATATACATTGTAAAACCGGGATAAATCATGGTATAGAACTCATACATCAATGACCAGGAGAATGACATCCAAAACCGGTTGTGAGTGTTTAAGTTATGATGCATCTAGCATGTTGTTCACCGAGCTCCATGTAAGGAATGCCTCTCCTTCGTGCGTCCAAATGGCAGCATTGCCGAGCGAGCATCCGGCCATGTTGCTAACGGCAGTGATTATTCAACGCCACCATGGACATCCAGATGTCCGGGTATTTGAGAGCGGCCGGCTTTATCATCCGGCATGAGTATTGTTCAAATAGGTGCGCTCGAGTTATGGGATGCATAAAACAACCCAATCACCTAGCATACGACACGAATAGTCCGTCTGTATGTACTAACAACAACAAGCGGCATCACCGCAAGCGTGACTTCGAAGCTGAACGGATTGATCGTGTGTATGGCTCGAGCCTTGCCGAATGTATATGGTTTAATGCAACCTCATGAAATTCCATGGGTAATGACTGAGTGTGTGGATGCCCTGCCGAATGAATAGAGTTCGAGGTCAAGTATTATCATGAGTGTGGTTTGAGGCCAAATGAAAGCAAGCGGCGTAGTTAAACCATTATTATAGCTCGGTTTTCATTAGTGTTTAAGAATTATCATTATTATGATTTACAAAAAAAAATAAAAAAGGTATCTCAATAAAGAGCCGTCTGTATAATCCGAGAGCAAATTCATTTCTCGAGCTCGGTTACTCGGCATCCCTTGGCCGCCTATCACCATCTGAAAAGCTCATTCTCATGAATCAAGCAGGAGGCATCATGTCGTCCTGTATGTTGATGAAATCCTCCATTGAAAGGTACCTTTCTAATAACTCGGTATAAGCATTATATTCTTATTATGTTGTTATTATATAGTAAAGTCTGACGGGTAAAAAAGACCGTTAAAACTCCCATTAAGAAATTTTATTTTGGATTAAGTCTCCTTCAAGGGCAGCATACCGACCGAAAAAGGTCTAACTAGCTTAAGTAGAAGCATCGCCTGTGCAATGTGCAGGCCGCACCGCCTGTGCAATGTACAGGCGGCAAAATCTAAATCAACCATCTGCTCCAGCGTGAGTAGATATAAGCTAAGTCTAAGTAAACTTAGCGGCTATGTGTTGTTCCTTTTAGAACAACCAAATGAGGCCAATGGCCGGATGATCAACTTGAGGCCAATGGCCGGATGATCAACTTGAGGCCAATGGCCGGATGATCAACTTGAGGCCTATGGCCGCATGATCTAAGTTGGGCCTATGGCATGACGATCAAAATGAGGTCTATGGCCGGATATTCTTAATTTATAAAACAATACATCTGTCCCTAATATGAGCAAGCGTCCAGCGACATCCATTTGGGTGAATTCGTCACAGAGAGCATCTCCCATATGGGTGGCACATTGCTCTATAAACTAAAACAAACGGCCCTACTGACTGTCAAAAAAGACAAGCTCGTAGTCGTTTGAATTGATCAAATGAGACAAGGATAACAAAGACTACCGGCTGTTCTAAAAACAAGTGGTAATCTATAATATTCGAGTCAGATATCGACTGCTGTTGCTCAGGGGCAACACAGTCGACAAAATTTGAGGATACAAGCTAAGTCCAAGACTTAGTAGCTAAATTGCAAAAATAAGCTAAGTCCAAAAACATAGCAACTAAGCATTGTTCCTATTAAGAACAACCTAAAGAGGCCAATGGCCGAATAATATTGAGCGCTTACCCCCTACTCGATGGTCGACAGTCCGCCTGATCTGGGGCTATCAACATAATGGGGCTAAAAGCAATAAAAGTCGACATCTATCTAGTTTAGCGGCAATCATTATTATGATTGACTAACTTTGAAAATGTCATACCGTTCAAGGTATCAAAATTTTCCAAGTTAATCAAATCCCACTTTTATTAAACTAGACAAATGCCGACCAGAGAGGCTTTAAGGGTCTTATATCCGAAAGGAACAATCCCTCTTAAAAGAGAGATTACTCCTTCCGAGGGGCTAATGTTTAGGGTAAAAATACCCTTAACATATGGACCAATGCTACTGCGACACGTGTCCCTAAGCTCAGCGCTCAATGAGCCAATTAGAGCATGACACGTGTTAGTCAAAGGGGAAAACGGGCTTTAAGCCCATAACCCTAGAAACCGTAAAACGGTGGGAAACCCATCTACTTTGGTTAAAATAACCTAAAAGGGCACCTGTCCCAAAGAACTATAAATACTGATCATTTACATTAGTTAAAAGGGAACTCAATTGAATAAACATTCAATCTACACAAAGCAGAGAGTGAAACACTCGGATATTAAGGCTGTCTCAGACAGTCGGACGATCACTCCTCTCCTAAGAGGAGCTTGATCCCCTTTACTTTTCCGCACTTTTTACATCCGAACACGTTCTAACTTGATCGTCGGAGGCGGAACTCCTACCCCCGGGTGTCTATTGTTTTGCAGGTACAAGCGCGTGGATCCAGTCTTGGTGTTGTAACTCTCCCGCAGGACATCCAAAAAACCCCGAAACAGATTTAATCTTATAAAACTAATGGTAAAAAAAACAGAATTAGTCTGTGCAGGACACTATGGCCAGAACAAAGAGGACGCTAAGATACTCAAATTCAGACGACTCCTCGTACTATGTTCAAATGAGCGAGCTTCCGGACCGGCCGCCTGGTACCCTGATAACTTGTTATTTTGTATGATTTTTGAGTAATTTTGAGACTTATAATTGTGAGAAATCAATGCCTTAGTTCACTAATTACTCTATTTTTATGCATTTTTTTTGTGTATCATATGCTTCACGGGTTTGCTACTGTTTTGGTGCATATTTAGGTATAAATATGGCACTTTGAAGCTTTTGGACAAAGAAGAAAAGAAGTTTGAGACAAGAAGAGGAAATAAGGGAGCTATGGAAGAATGAAAGAAGCAAGGAAAAGTGTCCATGAGTGAAATAAGAGCATTTGGAAGGGTTTTGGAAGGAATTTTTCCTTAAGGTCTACTTCAAATGATCATAAATTTTTTTCTAATTAAGTTTTTGAAGTGATTAAAATTGGAGATTAAAGTTCATCTCAAGAGCTTTCCAACGACTACTTACATGCCTTATTCCAATGAGTAATGAAGAAGTTATGACCTTCCGAAACAGAGTTGTTTCGCTTGAAAAAGCTGCACGTCCGTGCCAATTGATGCACGTCCGTGCCAATTGATGCACGACCGTGCCGACTGATGCACGTCCGTGCAAGGTCAGACAGTAGCTGCTGTTCTCATTTTAACAGGTCTGCACGTCCGTGTAACCTTTGGCACGTCCGTGCCG